AGTTGTGTTGTGTAAAAAGGTAAATTTACGACTCGTATAAAATGCGAAAAAGTCTCTAAATTAACTTGAGAATTTTTAAGCAAACATTCCTCTTGGGGGTTGGAAGGGTTATGTGATCGGTGAGCATGTGCGCGTGTCACACCGATCACAGTGCGGGTTGTATCAAAGAACGAATCAAATTGCCTGTTAGAAAATAAGATGGTATCTACATTAATCTGGAGACGTGTCAGATTACTGTAGTTTGTTCAGTCAAACATTTTATGGCTTACTATTTAGCTATCTTACCATGACCGATGTAACATCGCAACCAAAAAACTTGTCAAATTAACCAAATCATTACTGTACCATGAATGCTCCTATCTCGGACACTTCACACAAAAAAATAACTCTTGCACGCCTTGCGTGTCTATGTTTACTGTGGCGTTTGCGTTTTTTTTCCCATTCTTTTTACGTTGAAGTAGCAAACGTGACAATATTTCTCGTACACCGTATTTGATTAGGTACTCGTTTTTGTTTTTGTTTTTTTCGCTTTTTCTCGCAAAGGTATAGAACATGGTAGAGATAGAGATGTTCTTTTTTTCAATGCTGAAGATAAATGGAAGAAAATTAGATATCTGATGGAAAATGGAAGAGAAAAAACATGTATTGTTCCTTTTAACTGCATAATGCCAATGCAACCGATAAAATGTGATGCAAATAATCAAAGAATAAAACGTCCTTATTACTACTTGGAGTGCGCTAAACATCGATTTTGAATGTCTCTTAGTTTTAATCACTAAGCACTGAGATCAAGAGACGACGATCTCAGAGAACACATCCTCGTGCGAAATGATCATGTTTTTAAATCTATTTTGAGCTTCGCGTCACGTTGTAAAAGTTATTTTTGTGATGTTCGTTCATCGATGGAGACTGCGACTTCACTGGTTGGTTGGATGTATAAGAAGGTGGCTGATTAATCCGATCTGGGTGCGCAGCTGTCTACCGCGGTAGAGAAGCTAACAGCTCTCGCGTCCTGTGCTGCCCGTTTGCTTCTGGCCGTGGTTTAGTCTGCGAGCAGTCTCTCTGTTGCTCAAAAATCCAGGGGGAAGAACGCAAAACAAGTTCTTCTCTGCGTTCTTCCCCATGGAATTTCGAGCAAAATAGAGACTGCCCGCAGTCTAGGTCGTGGCCGTGCGACGCTGTTCAGCTCTCTTGGCTTTTCTGTTGACCAAGCTGCCACATGATGATCGGTTTGAGGCAAGATCTTCCCCTGCTTCGACAGGAATTTTTAGGGTGCTCTTGAGATTGTCTTTGAAGCGAAGCTTCGGTCTTCCAACTTGACGCTTGCCTTCTGCCAGTTTGCCATATAAAAGTCCAGCCCATTTTGCCTTCTCAACAAGGTGGGCCAGCGTTTTTGGGATATCAGTATGGTACAAAGGGGGATTTTAAATTGAGTATACAGTATTTTGACGCCAAAATTAGGCCTTTTCTGGGTATAAAGTATACCTTGTTTTTCCAAATTTTGGTATTTCGCATGAATCTGAGGGGAAATTTTGGGCATAATGGTTTTTTTCAGGTATAACACTACCCCCCATGGCCGGCCCTGTCTCAAGGAGGGTGTGTGTGCTGGGCATGTTAGCATGGGAGAGGATCTGTGTCCGGATTCGTTCCTGCCATCTGGTTCTCATAAGCTTATGGAGACCAATCAGTTAAAACACTTTTGCACACATTTTAAAATCGCAGCTTGATTTGAAATAAAGGAAACACATTTTAAATGAATCCTGGTGTTGATGTATAAGGTTATTTATAATTTTCATGCAATTGTTAAAATATTCTCCTTGTACTGAGGATCTTTGTTTTTCTCAACTTTGGGTTGTTTTTAAAATTACTAAGTGAGAGAGGGATTATGTCTTTTCAAAAAGTGCTCTCTTGTAAGTTATTTTTCTGATCTCATAATAAGAATATCTAGATTATGACACACTTTTCGAGTAAAAATGAAGTTAAATGTAATAATTTAATGGTTTCAAGGTAAATTTGTTCATCAAAATAAAGCAATAACAACCACTTGCTTGTGCCCTCAGCCATGTGACACCCTTTGTTACCTTGTGACACCTTGTGGCACCTGGTCACACCTTGTGACACCTTGTGACACCTTGTGATACCTTGTGATACTTCATGATGCATTATGTTACCTTGTGAAATCAATGGCACCCTTTTACAGCTCCCAAATTTAATAAACCATTTTAGGCTTGTTTCCACTAGCGCAGAAGTATAACCATAAGCAACTCAAACAGACACAATAAGATGTCCATTATTAGTGGATTTTGCTAGCAATATCTCCTAACAAAAGGTGCTACTTAGCAGCACCTCACTGAGTTTGTGTATGTTGCTTTTACACTTATGCTTATGCTTATGCTTATGTGTCAGTGGAAACCAACCATTTGAGTGCGACAACAAGAACAAGAACTTGCACATGAGGAACACACACACCTTGTAGCATTTTACCCAAAGAAGTTTCCTGTTCATTGGAGTTTCTTGTGCCATTATGAAACAAATTTAAAGTGAAAACTACCAAACTATTGTTTGCCTTTTTGTTTAATTTTGTCTTTCAAAAGATGAAACCACAAACGTTCAATTTTTAATTTCAGTCTTCTTGACTTCTTAATGAAGTTTCACCAAGGGGACCTACGTTTCGGGGATGCAGTGTGAGGTGATGAAACATAATAAGTAACAAAACCAGTTTTCAGCAATTAGCAAGCATTTAAAGAACTACCACAGCATTGAAACCATCAGCGACCTACCAACAACT